AAACACCCAATTAAAGCAGAAAAACAGAAAATGACTATAGTTTAAGGGATCAATGGGACAATGTCAAGGGTTACAACATTCATTCTAGGGTTCCCAGAAGAAAGCTTCCAAGGGATTAAGGAGCTATTGGAAGAAATAATGACTGAAAACTTCCCTAATCTGGTGAAGGAAATAGATACACAAGTCCAGGAAGCTCAGAGAGGACCAAACAAGATAAATCCAAAGAATCCCACATAAAGACACATCATAATTAAAATGGCAAAAGTTAAATACAAAGAGAGAATCTTAAAAGCAGCAAAAGAAAAAGAGTTAGCCACAAGGGAACTCCCATAAGACTGTTAGCTGATTTCTCAACAGAAATATTTCAGGTCAGAGGGACTGGCAAGAAGAGTTCAAAGTGATGAAAAGCAAGAACTTACAACCAAGACTGCTCTACCCCGAAAGGCTATATTTAAAATTGAAGAAAAGATAAGGAGTTTCCCAGGAAACAAAAGGTAGAGTTTATCACTACCAAACCAGTTTTATAAGAAATGTTAAAGGGAGAAGAAGAGAAGAAGGAGAAGAAAGGAGGAGGGGGAAGGGAGGGAGGGGGAGGAGAAGAACCATAATATAAATAATAAAATGGCAATAACTATGTATCTAACAATAATCTCTTTAAATGTAAATGGATAAAACAATCCAACAACAAAAAAAAGACATGGGGAGCTGAATGGATAAGACATTATAAATATGTTGTCTAAAAGAGACCCACTTCAGATCAGAAGACACACACAGACTGAAAGTAAAGGGATGGAAAAATATATTTGATGCAAATGGAAATTAAAAAAAGCTGGGGTAGCAATACTTAAATCCAGCAAAATAGACTGTAAAATAAAGGCTATGATAAAAGACAAAGAAGGACATTACACAATGACAAAGGGAAGACTCCAACAAGAAGCTATAACCTTGTAAATATGTATGCACCCAACATAGGAGCACCACTGATGAACATAAAGGGAAGGATTCACAGTACTACAGTCATAGTAGGGGGCTTTAACACCCCCTTAATATCAGTTGATAGATCTTCCAGGGAGAAAATCAACAAGGAAACAGTGGCTTTAAATGACACACTAAACTAGATGAATTTAATTGATAGTTTTAGAGTATTTCATCCCAAGGCAACAGAATATACATTCTTTTTTACAAATACACATGGGACATTTTTCATGATAGGCTATGTGTTAAGCCATGAAACAATTCTGAATTAATTTAAAAAGATTCAAATCATATCAAGGATCTTCTCTGACCACAATGGCATAAAACTAGAAATCAATTACCAAAAAAACCTGAAACACACAAAAAACTTTAAATAATATGTTACTAAACAATGAATGAGTTAACAATGAGATCAAAAGAGAAATTAAAAGATACCTTGAGAATGAAAATGAAAGTAAGATACAAAATCTATACAACATAAACAATGATAAGTTTATTCTCTGTATATATGAGTCTGTTTCTGTTTTGTTTGGTCATTTATTTTTGTCAGGTGTGAGGTGACAGAATGGTGATCATCTGATGACAGAATGGCTGTCATCAATAAATCAACAAATAAGTGCTGAGGAGGATGTGGAAAAAAGGGATCCTGTATACTGTTGGTGGGAATGAAGATTGGTACAGCTACTATGGAACATAGTATGGAGTTTTGTAAAAAAAAAATGAAAAATGGAACTGCCTTATGACCCAGCAAATCCAATTCTAGGTTTATATCTAAAGAAACTGGAAACATTAATTTGAATAGATACATGTACCCTTATGTTCACTGAAGTGTTATTTACAATAGCCAAGCTATGGAAGCAGCCCAAATGCCCATCAATAGACTAGTGGATAAAGAAGAGGTGGTATGTTTATACAATGGAATATTACTCAGCCTTCAAAAAGAATAAACTCTTATCTTTTGTGACAACACGGATGGAACTAGAGGGTATTATGCCAAGTGAAAATAAGTCAGACAAGAAACACAAATACCTTATGGTTTTACTTTTATGTGGAATCTAAAGAACAAAAATAAATGAACAAACAAAACAGAAACAGACTCATATGTACAGAGAATAAACTTATTGTAGAGAAAAGAGGGTTGAGGGGTGGGTGAAGAAAGTGAAGGAATTAAGAAGTACAAATTGGTAGTTACAAATTAAGCATAAGGATGTAAATTATAGCATGGGGAATATAGCCAAGAAAATGGTAATAACCATGTACAATGCCAGGTGGGTACTTGAATTATCAGGGGATCACTTGTAAATTATGGAATTGTCTAGCTACTATACTGTATTCCTGGAACTAATATAAAATAATATTGAATGTCAACTATAATTGAAAAGTAAAATTTAAAAAATATGCCTAAGGAATCCCTTTCTTTTAGTTGCAAAAGCTATGTGGGGCTGCTGATCACCAGTGCATAAAATGTCTGTTTACTTTAAATTGTCTTTTGTCTTCTGCAACAGTACTATGATAACAGCTCAGAAGTGCTTTCTCATAGGAAGCAGAAAAATTCAGTGAGCCAGAATTCGAGGTTTGACTTCTTTTGTTCTTTCCATGTCTGTTTTTTAAAAAAGAAAAAATATATTTTTAGACATGCAAAATCTTAAACAATTTACTTTTCATATACCTTTTCTTGGGAAGCTACTGGAGGAAAGCAAGCAAGAGTAAGATACAAGTTGATGAAAACAGGAGATCCAATATAGGGAAAAAGCAAAAGACAACTTCAGAATGATGGTGAAGAGAATCCCAGGATGGTAATTACACACCAGAGCAAACCAGTCCATCTCGCTGCTTTTATCAGTTATGTAATACTGCATAACAAACCAACCCAAAATGCTGTGGCTTAAAAAACTTATCTATTGATCTTTTAGTTTTGCTGCATAGTTTTAGGTGATCATGGCTGGCCTTATTCATGTTTCTGTTGTTAGCAATTCAGCTGAGGATAATTGGTTTCAGTTAGCCTCACACACGTCTGACAGGTGGCTTGGTGGTGGCTGAAGCCGTGGAGGTGCCTGGGCTATGTTTCTCTGCTCAGTCAACAGGTAAGCCTTACTCTTCACATGGCAGCAGGGCTCCAGGAGTCCAAAGCACAAGCACTTTTCAAACCTCTACTGTGTCATGTTTGCTAACACTTCATTGTACAAAGTAAATCACATGGTCAATCTCAGAATCAAAGTGAAAAGTACATTCAGTTACAGAGCAAAGGAGGATAGGCACAGGGAAGGGAATTGTTATCCATTTTGCTATCACTCTATCACATAGCTCATCAGAAGGTTCCAGCAGAAAATCCTTTAGGAAGGTGAAATCGGCAAAATGTACCTGATATGTCTAAACTTGTTGAGCAATGATTTGACAATAGTCAGAGTTTGGTGTTGAATTAATAATAAATATAAAGATAACTATGCAAAGAAAAAATGGGAAATTATTAACTCTGAAAATAACAGAACATTGTTTAGCAATTTAAAATAAGCATAGTTTGCAACAAATTTAGTGGTAATTAGTGCTTACTTAGTTATAATCAGTCAGTTAACACTAAATATTGAACTAACCAAAATTTCAATGTGGCCATATAAGGAGAAAGATGGGGTATCAAAAGTCAGTACAAATGGCGGTCAAGGATAAAAGGGAGCTGAGTCCTACTCTTTCACTCTGCCTGAATGGAAAACCAAGAGATCATATCTAAAACTAGAAAGTCAAAAAGTTAACAATGTAAAAATATTATCTAGAAAAATGAAGATAATACAAAAACAATCAGATAAAAGAGGTAAAACTGGTGCCTCTGGGAGGAAGGAAATAATGAGGTGACAAATGACTGTGGTGTTTCACAGTAAGTCTTAGAGAACTACTTGTCTTCAAAAGTACGTGCATGGTAACTTAAATACAAAATTAAAAAACAAACAAAGTAATCAGAGTCTTTGCAGACTAATTATTGCAGACTAATATGCAATAATCTCTGTCTAATATCAAGTGATAAAAGTGATATTAGTGATAAAATCAACTAATTATTGCAGACTAATATGCAATAATCTCTGTCTAATATCAAGTGATAAAAGCAAAATGCAAAAGTTTATAAGCTATTATTTATGTTTTAAAAATGGATGGAGTGGGTAATATAAAGATTTGCATGTATATACATGGAATAATTAATAAACAAGCTCTGTTGAGTCTACCTTCAGAATAAATTCCAATTCCAACCATATCTCACCCCTCTATCACTCTCATCCATAGGAAAGCTATCACCTCTGACCACACTAGGCCACTGGCCTCATTGCTTCACTGGCCTCCCTGCTTTTACCCTCCAGTCTAGTCTCCACTCAACAGCCTAAGGATTCCAACTGAACAAAAAAATAATTCACTTATTTCCTGTTCAGAACCCTTAAGTTTTTTTTTTTAACATGTTGAATAAAACCAGACTCCTCATCAAGGCTCCACAGAGTCATGTGATCTGGTTCTGACCTCATGCTTATCATTTTCTAGTCCATTCTCACCTTAGGGTCTTTGCAACTCATGGCCTCTCTGCCTGAAATGCTTTCCTCAGATATCTGTGGGCCTGGTCTTTCACTCAGATCCCTGCTCAAATGTCATTTCCTTAGAGAGATCTTTCCTATTCCCTTTCACTGTACCCTGCCTTCCCATATACTACCTACCTATCATTATCTATCACCTCATCCTGATTTATTTTTCTTCATAGGACTTATCACCATTTGACATTTAAATATCTTTAATATTTAGTTGTCTATGTGTTATCTCCCCCAACAAAATGTAAAGTACCATGAGGGTAGCCATATTTGTCTGTTGTATTTATTGCATTTATTCTGAAATATCCAAGGCAGAGCCTCATCCAAAGTAGCTATTAATTTATTTTGAATAAATTAATAAGCAATGAAAATACACACAGGATTTAAAAAACTATTTACAGCAGCTGTTTTGGGAAGGGGAACTGGGAACTTGAATGTCAGGGGTGGGAGAATAGGAAGACTTACTTGTCATTTCTTTAGGTCGCATGAACTTCAAACATCTACAGCACCCAGAGTCCAGGCAACAGTCTCTGCAGTGCCTACCAAAAGGGCACACAAGGGTGAAAAAGAAAAAAGTGAGAACATTTGCTAAGAGTTACTTTCTTCTGTGAGAAAGAAGGCATTAACATTGAATTCATAGATTTCAAGTACATGTATATCATTTATAAATTACATTACAGTTCCATTTAGGAGGTGTTGCCATCCTGTGCACCAAGGTTTTCCTCCACAGCTTTCTGTGGGTTCTTAGCTTCAGCTAGTCTCACTCCCTATAGGCATTTTATTTTATGTCCCTTTTCTGACTCTGCTACTCCATTACAGCCAAATCATTTATACCTGATAGCACTGAAAGCACTGAAATTTGTATTATAGTGGACTTAAGAACAGAAAGATTCAGTTAGAGGTATCCCTATCTTAACACTACACTTACTCATTCAATCCTATTGAGTAAGGTTAATGGAAATGGAGTAGGTGTTGGCACAACCACCCTTAACCAGAGAGTGTGTCCCTGTAAATTACAGTCCCCTAGGTGTGTCTTGGCTCAGAAAAGGCTGCAAACCACTGATGTGTAGTCCACAGTTTTGGACTTTGATACTCTAATTATATATAGTGCTTTGGTACCTATGTATTTATAGCCCTATGGGGACTTCTTGTAAGGACTCCTTTGTGCACAGCATTTCCAAGTTCCTCAGGGTATCAGGCATTGACAATATGTAATAAAGACTTGTTGTTTTAGTCATTAACATTAAAAAGCATAGATACTGCTATTAGCTTATAATTATATCACCATGGTTTTAATAGTGAAGTATACAGAAATAGTAAAAAAAAACCCTGCACACACATACATGCATGTACATTTAGTAAAAGCAAGAAGTGTGTCTCAATCATTTTTGTTTTCCCATGGTACCTACAAAAATAGCTTTGCTACAATATGTACATTATAATAATTGGATAAGTGGATGAATAAATGAATGAAGTCTACAGTATCTACCTTGATAATAATCATAGATACTATTCATGAAGCACTAACTATGGACTGGCCATTGAGCTCAGTCTTTGTCATCATTACCCCATTTAGTCCTTATAATAATTATATATGAGCAGGTTTTTAAAATATTTTTTTAAAGATTTTATTTATTTATTTTTAGAGAGGGAAGGGAGGGAGAAAGAGAAAGAGAGAGAAACATCAATGTGCAGTTGCTGGGGGCTGTGGCCTGCAACCCAGGTATGTGCCCTGACTGGGAATCGAACCTGCGATGCTTTGGTTCGTAGTCCGCACTCAATCCACTGAGCTACACCAGCCAGGGCAGGTTTTTTTAATATTATAAATGAGAAAATGGGGCTTAGAAAAGTAAAATAAGTAGTTCACAGCTACACAGTTGCTAAATGGCAAATTCAGGATTCAAGATCAAATCTAATTTCAAAGTCAGTGGCCTTTACTAAGCAATAACAAAAACAAAACAAAACACTCTCCGGATAAAAGATGTGAAATTTCTCCAATAAAATATTCCCATCTGATGACATAGTTGTCACTGAAAATAAACCATAAAATCAGTATATTCTGTAAGAGCAGAGGTTAAAGATGTAATTAGTAAAATCAGTGGGGGGAAATAAAGGGCATTCAGAGTAGAGCTCAGGTCAACTTTAAGTACATGGTCAAGAGAAGTTAAAACATTCACATTTTAAAAACTTAATCAGAAGTTAGAGATAATTTTGAAAAATAGTAGAGAATTGGAAATTGTTACAAAAATGGGAAGTTGCTTTTTGGCCACAACTTCTATTTATTGTAGATAAAAAGTAATAACTGAACAATATTTTTATATATAAGATCAAAACTCTAGTTTCATTCATCCAACAGGAACATTTCCTTGCAACCAAGACACTACTGGGCAAAAAAAGACAGAAATAGTTTGGAGGCTAAGATGCCACTCCCAAGGAGTTCACCATCCATTGGAGGAGCTGAGGAGTCTACTACGCAAGGCTGAGAGAGAATGCTAAGTCAAGTGAGACCCAGACTGGTGGGTCCTGACAGACAGGTAGAGAATTTCAGACTGATGGTTGTCAAATGGAAGCTTTGGGGCAGCAAAGGGTTAAGGTCACTCTATGCCCAGGCTGCATATACCACCACTGCACTCTGTGTTGTGCTCCCCAATGAGGAAAAGGGATGTGGTAACCAGAGTCTTTCCTGAGATAAGATGAAGGACTTAAATAAATTAATCAGAATTGTTCTGAACATGATAAGGGCTTTAGATGACCGAGAATGAGGCAACTGCTGAATAAGAAGAGATATACATATTTCTCTAAAACAAAAAAGTTATGCAGCTAAGACAGTTTGTTTAATGGAAAGAAAAATATGTTATTTAGTTAAAAAGGTGAGTGGTATGTGTTTGAAAAATAAAAAACAGACAAGCAAACAACCATATCCTTGCTGGCAGAGCATGTATGAGGTGATGTGAGGGAGTTTTTAAGATTACTTTAAACTTTTCCATTTTCTTCCTAATTGAAGAAATAATACATAAATATATTTTCCTTGCAAAAATTATAAAAGTTACATGTCAAAATAAAGTTCCCTTTGGTTATCTCCTGGCAAAATTTGAACATGATGAAAAACAAAAAAGCTGGTGGCAATAATAATATGAACTCCCTTTTACTAAGTAGGTGCTGTAGAAAACTGTTTATATATACTTTATTAGTTTTTTCAGAAACTTTTTGTGACTAATTACATAGAACCAAGGACTAAGAATACAACAATGACCTTAAAGAATTTGTAACCACTTCTATCCAAGCCTGGCATCATTTTCACCACAAACTAATACGGAAAGCGAGACTTGGAAAGATTAAACATCTCACCCAAGGTTGCTGTGGGATAAGTGGTGGAATTGGGATTCAAAACTTGTTCTGTTTGTCTTCAAAGGCTGACCCCTCTTTCACTACTACTCAATTGTTTTCAAATACTTTATTTTAAAAGTATAAATCTTTAAAATTGGTTTTTAAAAATAAAATGATCACATTACAACTCAATTCAGAAAAAAAGATAAAAGTAGAAGCATGGTTCATTCAGTGGCCTATCTATAGAAATAAATTTGTTTCTATCAAGAGGAATGGGTGGAATTGCTTAAGGATTAACACCTCAAAGGTTCAAGTCTCCCATTGTTAAACTTTAGGAACAGGGGCCAAACATTAATGTTAATAGAGATCATCAGGATGAGTGGATTCCAAACATGAAAGTGCCTGGGAATCACAGATTTGTGTTTCCCTTCCACTAACCCTAACCTCACTGGTACCCTGAAACCTGGAGTTGTTAAAAGCTCTGCCTTAGTGACCAATGATCTGCTAGACTTGAGAAGCAATTCTAGTACAACTCTGGTATGTTTAGTGATTTCTCTTCACCACTCTGTCTTCTACCCATCCTCCCAATATGGAAATGTTTAACCAGGCTTATACAATAGGGCCACTTTATGGATGCCCAGCATTTGTGAATTATCATCCAGAAATGCCTTGCTTTCCTTCTTTCTACCTTGACTTCATTTCTACCAACCCTGCAGTTATAAACCACATAATCCTCTCTAGAATGAAGCAGGTCTGTTAATCCTAGCTCCAGACTAAGCTTTCTTCCCTAGTTACTGCTTTAATTTCTCATTCTTATTGGTGAAATATAAAACTCTCTTCCAGATAATCCCAAGCCTATTTGTCTTGGCACTTAAGCTTCTCTTTATGATGGCTGTGTCCTGGCAAAACTCTATGTCTTCCTCCTTCATTCCTACCAATCACCTCCTGGCTTTCATGGATTGCTTATACAACAACCAAATTTACAATTCCCCCATGAGCAATCATCCAATGTCTGCTTATTTCTAGTCATGAAAAGCTTTCTTATTCATGGAAGAATCTGGCCATTGTAGGAGAGGAACGATGATTTTTAAAAGGATTCCTCCAGATTTTTAGCTAAAACTAGCTATATTTTCCAGCCATTTGTTCTTTCTTCTGGAATAGTGTTTCTCAATGTGGCCCCCAGACTGCAGCATCAGCATCACCTAGGAACTCAGCCCCCACCCCCCGCCCCCGCAAATCTACTGAACAGAAACTCTGGGAACAGAGCTCAGCAACCTGTATTTTCACAAGCCCTCAGATGATTCTGAGGTACCCAAGTCTGAGAACTCCTGCATCAGAAAGCAAGACTTCTCCTGAACCAATTTTCCTGAACACATTTAGCTTGATCTGGAGTTATTAGTCACATTGATGCTATGTTTTGCTGGCTTCATTCCCAAAAGACACTTTACTCTTTCTGATATAGTTTTTATCTTGGTCTAAGGGCATATCATTGGTTATAACCTTTTGAGGGATGGAAACAAGTGAAGCTTTCCATTTTTTAAATTTTTAATTATAGAAATTATAACTAAAGTTTTCCCATGGAATGATTGTTAGTTGTGCCCAACATCAGGCTTATTTAGTCAAAAGGACTTCATGAAGGACATGAAAATTATATTGAACTTTGACAAATAGTAGAAATACAAGTTTTCAAGCAGAAATACAGATAAGGACAATGTTGAAGGCAGAAGTTGGGATAATAAAGGCAGTTTAGTACATTGAATTAGAACACTGGTTTTGAAATTGAAATGCCTGGCCTTAGCCAGCATGGCTCAGTTGGTTGGAGCATTGTCTTGTAAATTGAAAGGTCGTGGGTTCAATTCCTGGGTAGGGCACATGCTTTAGTTTCTGGTTCAGCCCCCTGTCTTGGCATGTAGAAGAGGCAATCTATCAATGTTTCTCTCTTCAATCAATGTTTTTCTCCCCCTCTCTCCCTCACCCTTCCACTCTCTCTAGAATCAACAATCACATCCTTGGATAAGGATTTTTTAAAAAAGCAATCAGAATGCCTGGAATTCTACTCTAGCTCTGCCACTATAAGCTGTGTGACTGCTTCACATCTGTAAGATGTGAAGTCACAGTGGTACTCCAGGTGGTGAGAAGAACTCCAAGATGGCCTCAATATTTCTGCCTTATGGTATGCATGCCTCTTCCCCTGAGTGTTGGATGGCACCAG